TAACATGGTCTTTATTTTCTAATAAAATAAATAACCCAGAATTAGAACAAAAATTGATGTGAATGAAGCAAAGGTTGACTTTTAAATATATTCTAATTGCTATTAATTTTCTTGAAATAGCCAAGCTTGAAGTATGAATCCATGTAAATCTAAGAAAAAAGGTGAACACTTGATAGGAAGCAAATGCAAAGTCTAACAATGTGATGATAGCTTTCTTACAAGAATATTTGAAAAGATACCTTTAATTTCATAGAAAATCTAGATGAAAGGGTCATTCAAGGAGAGAGAATTAAGGACTAGAAGAAAGAAAAGTTTAGCCTCTGTTTATATATTGAAAAACAATATTATAGGTTATTAAAGAGTATTAATAGGGCTGGATGTGGTGGTACATGCCTATAGTCCCAGCAACTAGGGAGGCTGAGGCAGGAGGATCACGAGTTCAGAGCCAGCCTCACCAATTTAGTGGGGCCCTAAGCAACTCAGCCAGATCCTGTCTCCAAATAAAATACAAAAAAGGGGTGAGGATGTGGCTCAGTGGTTGAGTGCCCCTGGATTCAATCCCAGTACTGAAAAAGAAAACCACTAAAGAGTACTAATAGGGTTAATTACAAAGGCATTAGAATTAATAGTTATCAATAATCCTGTTGAATAAATCCATTTGATACAAATATTTATAGAGAAAGCCTAAATGTAAATGTCCTAAATCTCCAAGAGCACACTATCTCTTTATAAAATGACTACTGGAATTTCAAAGCAAGATTTTCATGAAATATAATATACGCATATTTTATTATGGTTATTCCAAATTATTAGTCTATTTTAAAAGTTCAAAATGTTCAGGCGCAGTGGTGTACACCTGTAATTCCAGGAGCTCCAAAGGCTGAGGCAGGATGAAGGAGAGTTCAAAGCCAGCCTCAGCAATTGAATGAGGCCCTAAGCAACTCAGTGAGGCGCTATCTCTAAATAAAACATAAAAGGTGACTGGGGATGTAGCTAGGTAGTTAAGTAATCCTGGGTTCAATTCCCTGTACCACAAAAAAACAGAAAAGAAAAAAAAATGTTCTTGCTTAATGTTAAGTATTGATTATATTTTTAGACAGACAATAACTTCTAAATTTTTTTGAAAAAAAATAAATGTGTAATTTAATATTTTAAAAACTGATAACATGATGTGAAAAGAATATTTTTTTCTTGTTTCATCTGTTTAATGAGGCCCAACCTGATCACTCCACTTAAAATTGCCATGTTTTACTTTCTCCCCACTCTAATCTGACATGTTTTTCCCCCTATTTCTACTTTTTTCTTTTTCCATACAATTTCGCTCTCTTAACATACTTTGATATTTACATACTTATTGTATCTACAGGGTTTTTTTATGTCTCCCCATCTATGCTAGATATATGATACAAACTTCAAAAAGCTGATTGATATATCTTAATCTTAGAGCAGTATCTGGCTCAAAAAAAAATAGGCTCTCAAAAAAATATTTGCTGAATTAATCCATGTCAGTGTGGAGGACTCCAGAGTCTAGGCGGTGTATTATTAAAAACAATATTAGCTATCAAGCATGAAACACTGTAAGAGAGAATGTGTGTGTTATTTCATTTAATCTTTAAAATAACCTTGCAAGATAGGGGATTTCTATCCTCATTTCAAAACTGAGACAATTGACGCTTGTGTTTCAGTACCTTTTTCAAAGTCACAGAGCTATTCAGTGCAATGCCAGGGCTAGAATTTGGAAAAAAAAAAAATTCATGTTTTTAAAAGTACTTCTGCCAACATAGCTTGCTTTGGGACAAATATTTCTCTAGAATCGTGTGTTTTTTAAATATTTTTTTTTTTTAGTTGTAGTTGGACACAATACCTTTATTTTATTTATTTATTTTTATGTGGTGCTGAGGACTGAACCCAGTGTCTTGCATGTGGTGGGCGAGCACTCTACTGCTGAGCCACAACCCCAGCCCCTCGTGCTTTTTTTCCCCCCTAGTTCCATTGTGAAATTTTTGAGAGCCCATATTTTCTTTATTTTTTTCCATTTTTTGAATAGATAGAATATTTGCATGGTTGAAAAATAGCAAAACAACATGAAAAGGTCACCTACTGCAGAGTCTGACTCCCCTCTGGTCCCCTTCATCCAATCTTTCATTCTTTCATAGGCAAACATTTCTATATCCACTGTTACTTTATAAAAACAAGACTAACATTTTTATTTTCTTCCTTTTATATATATCGAGTAGCTTACTATATGTGGGAGCTCACACTTTTAAAGTCAGATTTCAGTGAAGTAAATAATTATTTACTTCCTTTGAAAATTTGTGCTCCTTTAAATGAGGTAAAATCTGCCTGTGACATTTGACTGACATTATTAATAATTTACAACTTCAAAGGAAGTCAAATTATGAAGAGATCAGTAGGTTTTCCTAAATTAGTTTTATATTAATCTACACTAATTAAAATGTCTACTGCTGCTATTTTGAAGATTTCTCTTAAAGAGTTTTATAATATTAGTACAAGGTGGTACATGAGTCAGAGTTAGAAATTTTGAGTTGACATATTATGGCTACATGGAGGATAGGAGTACTGAGAGTTTCAACTTTAAAATCCTTTAGCAAGGCAGGGTGGTACACACTGGTAATCCCAGTGACTCAGGAGGCTGGCTGAATTGCCAGCCCTGTCAATTTAGCAAGATCATGTCTCAAAATAAAAAATCAAAAGGGCAGGGGATGTAGCTCAGTGGTAGAGCACCCCTGGGTTCAAACTCCAATACTGGGGAAGATTAAAAAGAAAGGGGTGACCTTATGTTTGGTTTAATGCTCTATTGTCACTATCTTAAAATTCTTAAACATTTTGAACAAAGAGTCTTACATATTCATTTTGAACAGGGTCTCACAAATTATGTTCACAGTCCTATTGTGGGATGTGAAAACAGACATCTGACTGAATATTTATAGTTTCTCCCACCTGATTTTAGTAGTAACAGAAGTTAACTTACTGAATTATCCTTCTCTTATCCCCTGACATAGATAATAAAGAAAACTAGGTATTCCTACTATCATATTTCTTTACTACAACAATGTGTCATTATAGTTATCATTATATTTATGTTGCTTTCCACATTTGAATTATATTATCCATTATGTTTATTTAATATTACTGCTAATATTTTTTCCTGGCAAGATTTATCTTCTTTGACAATTATGTTGTGAGTTTAGCATACTGAAGTTCTGATAACCACTCACCATTTCCTCCAGTTGGTGGTGAGAGCCTGCTGAAATTATAGTAGGTGACATTAGGTTCTATAAACTCAGTTCCAGATGTCTTATGAACAAAGTTAGATGTTAAGGAGCCAAGAAACCCATTTTTCAGGTACTTGCTACTCTTATTCAAATTTATCAATTCCTACCAATAAATATGTGTCTATCCAAAAATTCCCACCAATTTTGGCCATTTTCTTAAATATAGTGGAGATGTGGGAATCCTCCAAGTTGCCTTCATAATGTAGTACCATCTAAGTTGTCTGCAAAATGAAAGAGATGAGAAGACTTGTTTTGTTCCTTTCTTCTCCTTCTTCTCCTTCTCCTCCTCCTCCTCCTCCTCCTCCTCCTCCTTCTTCTTCTTCTTTTTTTTTTTTTTGAGATATGTTAGAAACTCCTGGGCTCAAGCCTCCTGCCTCAACCTCTCTCCCAGTAGCTGGGGGCTATAGGTGTGTACTACCTCCTCTATCTTGAGAAGAAACTTCCTTGGTGCTTCTCAGGTTGATGTAGTTGTTTTTTTTGTTGTTTGTTTGTTTGTTTGTGTGTATGTGTGTGTGTATGTGTGTAGAGACAGGGTCTTGCTAAGTTGCTTAGGGCCTGGCTAAGTTGCTAAGGCTGGCTTTGAACTTGCAATTCTCCTGCCTCGGTCTCAAGAGTTGCTGGGACTATAGGTGTGCCCTACCACGCCCAGCTGTTTTAGCTTTTTGAAGGTGACAAAAGTGGTATTATCAAATAAACCTAAAGAAAAGAAAATCAAAACAAACAACAACAAACCCAGGGGGATGTGGAAGAAATAATAAAAAGATTTTTAGGAAAGTTTATTGCTAGTATTGTCCTCGTGAAACAGGTGAGCAGGCAGCTTTAGCTGGATTGTTGTGGCCCACGGTGGGTGAGTTTGATGAGTTATGGGAGTTGTATTAGAGGTTTAGAACCTCACATATATCTACATTCTGTCTGGTTCTCCCTCTCAATCCAATCCAATCAAAGCAACTAATTTACTACCAGACATATTTGCAGGAGGAGCCAGTAAATTAACCTCCCTCAACAATTTGGGTCTCTGCTTTTCTTTCATGTAGGAGGACAAATAATTATCTCCAAAAAGAAAGAATGTAAGTTTCGTTTTTGCTGGGTGCAGTGGTACATGCCTGTAATCCCAGCAACTTGGGAGGCTGAGGCAGTCGGGGCAACTTAGCAACACCTGGTCTCAAAATAACATAAAATGAAAAGGTCTGGGGATGTGGTAGAGTATCCTGGGTTCAATCCCCAGTATCATTATATATATATATATATATATATATATATATATATAAATTTATATTTTAAAAACAATATATATATATATATATAAATAAGCAACCTCCTCCCCCCAAAAAACCCAAACCTTCATTCTTCTGTCAAAATAATGTTTCTTTTTTCTTTTCTTTCTTTTTTTTTTTTTTTAAAGAACAGGCATCCTCTTAGTGTTGGTACATTTCTAGCTGAATTTAGCTAAGTGTATTTTCCCGCCAAAATACCCTTTTAGGAACAACTACAAGTCAGAGAGATGGTAAATACAGAGGATGGGCAGTTATACACGTTATTCAACAGGAATGTGCAGAAATGTTAAAGCAAGCCATTCAGTTTTTAGTTTAAATAAGTTCTTTGAATAAATATATAGATCATATACAAATTCCTATAATTTTTGTAATTATAAATCAAAATGATATACAGAAAAAAATGCTAGACTGATTAAAAAGAGAGCACTGATGAAATGAACAAAAGGTAACCAGTTTATTTACTGGAAAAAATTATGCATTACACAATATTCAGTCGTTAACATAAACCAAGGTATAAGAATCGATATATCGGCTTCTGGTTATTTTCTTAGCATCGGAGTGCCTTTCCCAACCATTGAGTGTGTGATCAATTACACGAAAACAAGCACAGGGTGTAGGAATTCTCCCATGAGACATTCACTTAAGATTGTCTACAATAAAAAAATAAAAAGGACGAGCAATAATAAATACATAAGGATTTTTTTTCGAATTAAGAACAAATGCATGTGTCTGAGAATGTTTCCTTTGAAATTTGAATTTTTAAAAATAATTAGTAAACAGAAGTTCCTTAGATCAGTCGTTTAGTCATGTTTCCATATGGTGTTATTAGGTGGAACACTTCACATCATTTAACCCCAAAAGGCATAATAAGAAACTTTAATTAAATGTAGGAGAAAGCTAAATCGCTATAACAATAATCAGACAGTGTACAAATCAGGGTTGGCCACACATGACACAAATGTAAATACTGGAAAGAAATACAATGTAGGAATCATGTTTGGTTCACGGTATATACGTAATCATGCAAATAAAAACACTGAGTAGATTACAAAAATGTCATAAAAGATTTCCAAAGAATTGTTGACTCTAACAGTCAAACCATTGAGCTTAAAAATTCTGTGGTGACAATGTTAAAACGATGCATTTCCTCTATGACTTGCTATGCAACCATATCTATGAATCCAACATTCACTCTGTGTCTTCATTGTCACCAAATAATGATTTTTCAACATAGTGATGATATATCCTTTTATTTTATAGGTCTCTGATCTTCGTTTTAAAGTGATTTTTTTAAAATACCAATGGCATTCTTTTTTTTTTAATATTTATTTTTTAATGGTAGTCGGACACAATATCTTTATTTATTTATTTTTATGTGGTGTTGGGGATTGAACCCAGGGCCTCACCCGTGCTAGGAGAGTGCTCTACTGCTGAGCCACAACCCCAGTCAACCAAATTGATTTAAAAAAAAAAAAGAAGTCAACACACAAGTTTACTTCTCAGTGTTTTGATTAGAGTCATGATTACCAGAGAATAATTCTGAAAGGAAGAAAAGTTAAAATAAAAATAAATTCTCAACACATGTTGTACAGCAATTAAAAGCCAATCTCAGAATTAATCTAGATCTGCAGTTTATCCAGGCTTCAGATTAAATAGGGCAAAATTTAAATAACTCCAGAGGAAAGGGATAAAACTACATTAAAGAGTAGAGCCATGCATTTCAATATGGAAAGGAGACCAGGTACAGGTGGCAATCTCTTTACATTCCTAATGGGGAAATCACAGGAGAAATAAGACTTCTAGAGTGTTCATATCATGGATATGGGAAGGCTTACACGGTGTGAACTATCTCATGCAAACATCTTACACTGTGTACCTCTGTGCACCCTTGCCTTACACTAGCAGCAGTTTATTTCTTCTCCTCTTTTTTTTTAAACAGAACACCATTTGTAGAAAATTTTCAGCTGGGGAACATACCTTAACACTAAATATCTCTTTCAAGTACACTTTGAGTAATAGGATGAAAGAGATGTCTAGATGAAGTCTTTCAGGTGTTAACAGAGCTAGGCTACAAATGCAATACATCAGGGACTATGGTAGTAATGTTGGCATCAAAATAAAGATGAAATTGGACTGGGAATATAGCTTAGTTGGTAGAGTGTTTGCCTTGCATGCATGAGGCCCTGGGTTCAATCTCCAGCACCACACATAATAATAATAATAATAATAATAATAATAATAATAATAATAACAATAATTTCAGACACAATCATCTGGGAGCATTATTACAGAGGATGGAAGAAGTCACTCGGGAGTAAGCTTGTTCTCATATGTCAACACAAATTGATTTTAAGGTAAAAAATGATTTTTCAGTAGCAGCACTGATCATGCTATCTATCATGACTCCAGTTTGATGGCTTTCTGGAAAATTATGTTCCCTTTATTTGAAAACATATTACTGTAAAGTTTTTGTGATCTTAAATACATAATTATTTTAAATCACTCTGATTTATAAACAACAACAACAACAAACAACCAGAGAGTGAACTTTTAAAAATGGAAACTTCACCCCAAGAGTTTCTTTCAAATCTAGGTCTAGCTACAATATCAATGTATTTGTGGCATCCCTGGGTTGAACCAGTACTGTTCCTTCCTGAAAACCTATTAGCTTCTTCTGATTACTTTTTCAGAGATGCAATTATATCTTTTGGCTGACTGGAGCATGACAATGAAATGTGACATTCTTATTTCAGTAGAAAATATATTTTATTCCTTCATATTCTTGTTTTGTGATCTCCACTTAAGAACTGGAGAGGATTTTATTTAATTTATTTTTTTTTAATCAGGAAATTCCCACATCTTGGCTATTTGCTGGACCACTGTTTCAGGCTTTTCAAAATAGTGGGATTTATCTGTTGTATTTCCATAGGATAAGAAAAGCTTGAAGATCCTTTTAAGTAAAGATAAAATTCAAGAGGTACTTGTTTCCCCTGAGGGATCACATACCTTTTCTTTCGGAAGTATTCCTGAGGACAGTTGTTTTTTAGATTCCAAAAATTGAGGCTTTTTGTAGCAAAACTGCTACATTCTAGATAACTTTAAAGATATTATGAAATATAGCTGGGAGGAAAATTAATACCAACAAAAAATTTTTAAGCCAAATATCTTGGAGAAAGTAAGATTACCATCTTATTTCAAGGGATTAAATACTTTATGACTATCAGTAAAACTTTATAATGTATTTTAAAAAAATAAAAGAATCATGGGATTATTGTAAGATATTTTAAGATATTTTGCCACTTAACGCTCTCTAGATCTCCAACAATATTAACTTCAAAAAAACATATCTTTTTTATAATTATCAATTCCAGTGATGAATTTTCCATTGTAAAATCCTTCTTCCTAGAATTAATATAAATCTTTCACACTGAAGAATTTCTTATTCTAGCCTTAGTGATATCTATCACAGGTGTCTATTACTTGCTAAAATTTCTCTTTTCTTGAAGATCACTGTTGTACATGCTCTCCTTCAGCTACATAAAGTATATCCAAGTCTTTTCTTAACTGTTTAAGAATTTTCTGTTTTTGCAAAGTTCCCCAAACTCCCTTTTTTGGAATCCAGAACTGTATACATGAAAGGAATCTGATAAAATGTGAGTTGATGGGAAAGTATCCAAGGTTTTTATGCCCCTGAGCACTTAGGCCAAAGGCAATTTATTGCTCCTTTTAATTTTACTGATATTTTTTAATTAAGAAAAAATCTCTAGTAAGAAAGCATTTCTGCATACTAACACTATTCTTTTCAGCATTGTAATTGTGCTTCCTTTTTGAAAAAATTACTTGGGCCAGGAGAGGCAGCACTCAAGAGGCTGAGGTGGGAGGGTCACTGGAGTCCAGGAGTTCAAGACCAGCTGAAGAGCAGAGACCCCATCTCATCAAAGCCAAAAACCAAATCGAAACAAAACTTCTACTTGGTTATTCTACTAAACACTCCTGCTAGATTTCTTTCATTTTTGCTCATCGTGTCTACAACACTTAGCTTTAGTGTATTTTTTCAATTTAGTTTTCCTCCCCAAACATGTCTTCAATTAGTAAGGCTCATCCTTTTGGGTTTTCACTAGTTCTTCACTTTTTCGGTTTCCTTTTGGATCCTTGTATTATCTTTACAAGTATTGATTCTTACCAACACTACACATATTTATTCATTTAAAATGCCTATAAATAAATATAAATATGGCTCAATTTAAACTATACCAAATAATGCCACATTGTAAATACATGGTATTCTCTCTTACTGCCACTTAATTTTGTGCTGAAAGTGAGAAATTTATTTCCAAGTTTCCAAATCTTCTTGACAAAGTTGCACTAAAATTAGTATTTTGTAGTTAAGACTTCAAAACAAGCATTTTCCACTCTATTTGGATAAAGAACTGAAATAAAACTAGTTTATGATAGGTTTCATATTTGAAGAAATAAATGTTCTGTATATGACTCACTTTTCCCTGGGACCTAAATCTAGAATAAGGGAATAAAAATGAATGCAGCCCTGGTAACAGGACAGTTGTGTGGTTTCACAGAACCAAGATCGACTGCTGAGTTCCCATCTCACCAGACAAAATCCATGAGACAAACAGAAAGACGTTGTTCTGAGGTACTCGTTAAAAAAGGCATGTTTTCTCTTGAACAAAGTCAACTTAGCAGCTATGCCACTTTTCAGGTCCAAACACATGATGCTTGAAAAAGGAAAAGTGTGTGTGGAGGTGGGGCAAGCATTCTTGAATCACTCTAATAAAATCCACACTGTCTCACTAATCCTGGTAGCAGGCAGATGAAACAGCAAGGGAACACTGGTAGGATGGAGCATGTTAGGTTACTGTGACTAGGGCTTTCATGAAGATCTGTTTTGTTTGTTTCTGTACTTGAACCTGAATCTCTCTTTTGGTGAAGATTTCGACTATTTACCCCAAGTTGCATAAGAAATGACTGTTGAAAATAGCACTTAGAGAAGGAACACAAAACCTCCTGGTTGCTTTGGTAATAATGACCACCACTTATCAGGCAAATGACTGACAGAGGCTCCTGCAATGTGCTTAATGACTGACAGGTGGGCCTTGGATGGACCCCTCTATGAATGTACCACCCACTTCCACTCGATAAGCTCCTAAACCTCCACTGCTAGTGTCCTGCACCGTTATCTGTCCTTCACGTTAACAGCCGGACTGTGTCCGTTCTGAAGAGAAGTTACATGAAAAGGTGAAACCCTTATGGTTGTAAATTAGTTAAGGCTACCTGACAAAGACAAGGAATCAGGGCTAGGAGCAGTTGTGTGGGCAGCACTTGAGAGTTAAGGAGCCCTAGTGTTAGACCTTTCAGCTCAATTAGCTGTTTCCTTGTTTGTCAGATTATGTGCAAAATAAATTTTGCTATGAAAATCCACTGCCTTAAATCAGGTCATAAAAGTTACCTAGCAGAATCTGTAAATGAACTAGGAACATGTCTTATCTCAATATAATATAATGATTGTAGGCACCTGAGTGTTTGTCAAAAGTAGACAATGAGCTAAGGTTTATTATCTATTTGTTTTTTGGCAAGGAAGATTCATTATGAAAAAACCTAACAACAAAACATACAATTTTAATCAAAATCTGAACACTTTCTGGTAAATTAACTAGCCAAAGCTACCTTACATCTATGTATGTATATATTTTCTCCTTTGTTCTTGATACCTTTTAGCAGGAAAGACCCATAGTAGGACCCTGAATTTGGAAGAAGTTTAAAAAAAAAAAGTTCTGGTCATTAAACAAACACATCATTTTTTTCCTTTCAGGTTGTTTAGCCTTCTATAATGTCATCACACACGTACACACGTACAAAGAAGCAGCACCAGTACATCTACTCAACTGCAATTTTAAAAAATTGAAGATGCCATCAAAATTTGAATAAGTCAATGAAACAAAATTTAGTCTCTTTCTTAGATTTACTTAATAATGTCCAGTGAAGAAATATAGTTAAAAAAAAAAACAGCAGTTAATGAGCTACTGATTAGAAAATAAGTGCATAAATAATCAGTGTAGCAGCAAAATACAGTTATTGTTAACATTCTGATGCACCACATTTATCATTTTGTGCAAGAAAAACGATCACAATCTGGCCAATTCCAGATTTCAAACTCAATTAAAACTCATATGTAACTGAGCAAATTATGCTTCTTTGAAAATAAGTGCATTAAATTCACTTCTCACAGAAATTATTTATTACAGACATAAATCATGTAGCAAATAAAGTAACAAAATAAATATCAATGACCGAAAATATCAGAATCAACTTCTATAGCTGAATTTGGAGCATGAGGAAAGATGATTTTACAATATACGTATTTTACATCGTCTTAGGTCTCTCTTATGCTATAGAGGTAAGCCAGCCATCTGAGATGCATATTTCATGTTTCTTTTTATTTTTGAAATTTAACTGAACTGTAGCCATTGGATTGGAGAAGTTTAACAGTGACTCAGAGGAACCATAAAACGTTTGATCACACGGGGTCTGTGCTTTTTGTCAATCTTCTCAATTTTCTCTCTTCCAAAACGATGAACATTAATCCAATTGTACAGCGAACCACCGGGAAGAACATCCCCGCCGGGGCTTGGGCAGTATCCTGCGAGTGGCTACAGAACCTTCAGCCCAGATGTTCGTCCACAGGAGCTGGAGACTAGGGGTAAGGAGGCTTGGAGAGACAGTGGAGAGGGGCGCAGGGCGAGCTGGAATGTGGCTGCTCCTCAGGGAGAGCTACGTCAGGACTGAAAACGAGAAATAAGCTGGTCAGCAGGAAACGCACCGAGGGGCCAGGCAGACCATGAGGGTCAGATCAATTGCTTTCACATACATTTTAAAAACATGATCAGAAATTTTGCACAGAAAATAGTTTAAATTCAAAACATGACAAGTCACCTGTGGCTTTCAAAACAAGGCAATAATAATAATAATAATAATAATAATAATAATAGAAAGGGGGGGGAACCATGTTAGGGAAATTGCATGTGAACTCTGGCCCCAAAGTCACTTCTTTTCAACTTCAGTATGCATACAAATTGCCTAGCAATTTTGGTAGATTCTGATTTAGTAGATCTGGGTAGGACCTGAGATTCTGCATTTCTTATAAGTGCTTGCTCCAGTAATTTGGTTGGTTTGTTTTTGCAGTACAGGGATTGAACCCAGGGGTGCTCTATCACAAAGCTACATTACTGGCCCTATTTATTTATTTGGGACAGGGTCTCACTAAGTTGCCCAGGCTGATCAGCCTTGTGATTCTTCCGCCTTAGCCCAAGTTGCTGGCCTGGCTCTATCTACTGATTTAAGTGGTGCTGGAAGATGGACCAACGCCTTAAGAGTTGAGAGGATTCTATTGTTCTCTGGTGAAATCTGGATTCAATGGGATAATTAATGGACCCGTGGAAGGCCAGTTCACTAGGAGTTCCCCCACCTGCTTTAGCACAGTGATGCAAAAACAACTGAAGAGTTTTATGACATTTTCCATTTATTAAGTAAATGATGGAGATAGACCATCACCTCTGAGAGCTTCCAATTTAAACAACTCAGGCTCATCAAGGTCTTGAGTAATCTTGAAGAATGAGGAAGTAAAATAACTGAATTGCCTAGAGTAAAACCTAAAACGTATTTGGGTTCAGATCTTTTAAAATGTGGCTAGCAGTGGGGAAAGGGCATTGTGGGGATTTTTCTCTTCTTTATTTTTTGTTGAGGGTTATTGCTGTGTTGTCCAGGCTGGTCTTGTACTCCTGGGCTCAAACAGTCCTCCTGTCTCAGTATCGCAAGTAGTTGGGATTATAGGCACACACCACAAAATCCAGCTAAGATGGATATTTTTCTAAAACTACTATTTCCCCATATATTATGAAATTCAGTACCATACAATTCACTCCTTTATCAGAAATGTTTGAGAGAACTAGTCAAGGTTTGTTATTATTATTATTTATTAATTTAAATGCTTTTTTTAAAAAAAAACTGGATTAATCCTTTATTTATTTATTTATTTTTATATAGTGCTGAGGATGGAACCCAGTACCTCACACATGCTAGGCAAGCACTCAACCATTAAGCCACAACCCCAGCCCTAACTTAAATACTTTTTAAAGCTAATATCATTGAAATAATTAAAAAATAGTATTAAATAAATACATTCTAAACTTTGGTACTGAAATTATCATTCAAATATATCTATCTTGAATTTTAATACAAAATCATAATTACACAAAATTTCTAGTCTGCTTGAAGTTACCTTTACTTCCTAAGCTCTTTGCACTTGTACATTTAGTTTAAAAGAAGATTCATGTTCTGGGCTGGTTAGAACCAATGGTAAAAGTTATTATCCTACATATTTTAAAAATGTGTGGTAGGTAAATACAGGAGAACTGGAACACCGTCAAAAGAACTGAGTGGATGGTATTATTTATCAATTAAAAAATATTTTAAAAGGAAGAAAATAATTCATGGCAAGATTGACATTCTCAGATGGTCAGTCAGATGGTTGGGAAACAGCAGGTTATTGCTAAATCAAACAGATTTTCCCACAGACCTAACGGTTTCTTTCTGTAAATCTGCAAATCTGCATGAGTTAGGACTGATTCCTTTTTAGGGAATTAATATGTTATGCAATGTAAATTATAGCAAGCAATGCATAGTCACATTGTGCAAGAAGGATGCATTTTTGAAGACCTGTGTAATTCAATACTCTCTTTGATAAAGGAAGGCAAGTATTTCTGCAAGGCTGGCTGTCCTGTGTGGCAATACATTGAGTGTGGGTTACAGTTCACTTGGCCCTTCACCCTGACATAATATCATTCGTGATGACTTAAGATTATTTTCATTATTTCAGACTTTTTACATAAAGCAAGAGTTAAAAACAACTTAATAGTATTACTATTACAAATTTGCATGAAATCCACTCTTACTGCATATTATGTATAATACCCTTTAAGGAACACACTATTGGTTTCCAGCCTAAGAAATTATTCTTTGAAAAAATTTATTGGTTCTTTTTAGTTATACATGACAGTAGAATCCATTTCAACATAACTATACAAGCATGGACTATATCTTGTCTTATTCGGACCCCAGTACCTCTTCTTCCCCTTCTCTCTCCCCACCTGCAGCTCCCTTCCCTCCACTGGTCTTGAAGATCATGTTGTAAACAGTAAACTTAGAAACTATTACTATGTCATAAAGGTGGATATTATCTTCGGAAAGCTTTTTTTCTTTTTCCTTTTCCAAGAAAATAACTATTTGAAAGAAGTAGAGATGGTCTGAATACCAAACACCTCTATATGTTTAAACAGTAAATGTATAAAGTGATGGAAGTAAAATTTTTTTTTAATATTTGTTTTTAGTTGTAGATGGGCACAATATTCTTATCTTATTTAAGATAACATGTGTGAGGCAATTGTTCTACCACTGAACTACAACCCCAGCCCCCCGCAATTTTTTTCAAAATGAAATACAGAGAACATCTAATCAGAAATCACTCAACATTTGTAACAAATTTTCTCATTGTCTAATTAAACAAACATCTCTTTTGAAAAAAGAGTCTATGTGGATAATAAAATACTCTTGCTCCTCCTACTGTAAGTAAAGTGAGGGAGGGGTCCTGTCCTCTGTAGAGCAGTGTCTACAGTCAGGGCAGTAGGATGGGCATTGGATCACTGGGCTCAGTTGTGTTCGGGATGCATGACTCTGGACAAGTCATCTGACACATTCTGACCTCAATTTCCTCATTTAAAAATGGGAACGATAGCTGTGCTTACCTTACAAGTGAGGTGTAATGATTAATACTTGTGAAGAACTTAACCCTTGTCTGGAATGCGATATGAAATCTAATGTTGGTTCCTTTTCTGTGAGGAAGGAGTGGAAGGAGAATGAAGGCTTTAACTTCCATCCAGTTAGCAATGGATGCGGGCAGGAAGGAAGCCAGTCACAATTTCGCAACTCTGCAAACAAGTTAGTCTTTTCCAGTCCATACATGTTTAATCATCTCTCTTTCTTTTTTGTCAGGACCAGGGATTGAACCCAAGGCTCTGCCACTAAACTATATCCCCAGCCCTTTTTATTATTTATTTTGGGGCAGTCTTGCTAAATGGCTGAGGCTGGCCTGGAACTTGTGACCCTCTTGCCTCAGCCTCCCAAGTGCCTGGGATTCCAGGAATACACCACACTTTCAATCATTTCTCTGTGTAAACCACAGTGAGGAATGGAGGAAGCCCGGTCTGGACCATGCTGGATTCATGTGGGCAGAAACTGAAACATTTGTAATTCATTAAATTTTTCCTTTTTTTTTTCAAGAAAACCATCCCAATGGAGGTAGCAAATACCCTACATTCAGTAATCTCAAAAGAAATGGAACTGGGTCACAGAACCATTTATTCAAACCCATTCTCCAAAAAAAAGGTAAAATAAAATTAAAGTTAAAAATATTTCCTCCCAGCCTTTCTGTTTCCTATCTAATTGAAACCCTTAAAACAATAGGCTTCCCTACTCTGTGTCCAAGCGAATTAGAGGCTATGAAAGGGACTGCAGATCTTTTTCTTGAGGGTGAGTTAGGTACAAAGTTAGTATTGATAATAAGGATTGAGTGGACACAACATGCCAAGTCTCCCTAAATTTCCCCAATATCTATTCTTCCTCACTTTATGAAGATACAGAATCTTAGTTGAAGAAGAAACTTCCAAGATTTGGTTTTAGAGATGGGATTCAAACCCAGGCTACTTAGTCCAGAGCTCATTCATTCATTCATATGATCAATATTTACTGAACATCTGTTGTGTCTAGCAGTGTCCAGGGTGAGAGTGGAGGTTGGACTGTAGAATCCCACTGAGATGGATTGGAACATTTGTACTTATATTCAATTACTTACATAATGCAAATTACTCTAGTGTTGACTGCTTATATTAAACAGCATTAGTATATTAGAAAAGAACCTAACAACAACAACAACAACAAAAAGCTCTATTGCTGGAACTTGTGGAATAGCTGAGCAGGAGATATCAATTGAAAGACCCTGGATAGTGACTCTTTAATAATACCCCGATCTCTAACTCTAGGTTCCACTTATACAGCTGGCAGTGCAACTGTCTCAGAGCCCACACCATATTTGGGCTTTGGCTGCTACTGTGTTTGTCTTTGTAGCTGCCTAGCTCCCCCAAGATGTGACCTTGCCAGTGATATCTATTCCTCAGACATGCATGGAAATGTGTTTGGGCCAGCCTCTAATCAAAAGAAGCCTTCCCCTGGCAGAAGAGCAACAGATACATTAAAATACACCAATAAGCAGACCATAAAGACACAGCCAGACTACAAAAGCTTGGCCCAACAAGGCCAGGTAGGTAACTGGAGATGAAGTATTCCATGGAGATGAGGTGGTCCTGGCGGACACTATGATGCTGTGTGCAAGTTCACCCTCGGGGGAGGTCAACTTGTGACTGATATGGAAAGCTTTCATCTGGAATAGGAACTGTCAGCAAACTCTCCAGTTCAGTGTCCAGGGAGTGTGCAAACTTGCCTTTAAATTTCTTCAGTTAATCTCATGTAAAGGACTCTCACCACAGATACCCTTTTTTGAATGTCAATTATAAGGTTTTTCAACAGCTTTCAAACTCAGTTTTGATGAGAGCACTGAGCAGACAGAAAATAGAAACACTTTTTATAAAGCTGTCCTGGAATAGACATTAGACATATTTCATATCTAGTTTCTGTATTCTTCCTGTTGATTTGCCTGAGAAATGCATTTGAAGGACAAAAGACAAGCAGAAGAAAAAGTAGAACAAACATCCTAACAGTTCCAGGTTTTATATTTTGGAAACATTGAAACTACTAATTCAAATACTTGAAATACTAATCCAAGTATTTATTTAGGGAGCTGAAGGCAGCCTTCAGTCTCCCAGCTAGTGGCTGGTGACACACATGCAAGCTCTCTTGCATTCTCGTTGGGAGCATATGGACTTCAGGTATGCAAACCGTATTCATGTAGTCCATATATGAAATAATGCATAGCAAAATATAATTATGTATAGGTAGTTATGGAATTGGGAAGGGGAGTTGGGGTACATCTAGGGATCTGACATGCAGCTGGGTGGGAAGATAAAGGACGGGTGAATTTACCTGACAGTTGGGCAGTCTTGCCTCCCGGCTAGTTGTGAGCACTGTGGCGGTACGGAGGCAGCAGGCTGCTGACAATCTACAAGAAACTGATAAATTAGACATGTATACAAAGAGATGACAGAGCAAGGTGTTAGTAACAGTAACTAAAGCAGCTGCCTGAGATTTAGTGAGGAATGTGCATTCACACAGAAACAGCTTGATTAAGCAGGTTTTTTCCTGAATGATGCCAATAGAGAAGACACACTTTTTTTTTTAAATCAAATACAGTATTAAAAAATTAGTGACAAAATTAGTAGCAAGACTTTTCAAGTACATTAGGACACATGTAGTCATTCATATTTGGTATTTTGCTACCTCTAAAAAGGAAGGAGCTATTAATAAAAGATCTTCAAGTTCTGAACTTGAATGTGATGGTGGTTACTTGCATAGTACACAAATCTGCTATTCTAAAATGGAATGTATTGAGATAACTGAGCATATTGTCAGGACATGTGGACATATTGTCAATCCTACAGGTACATTGAGAAAGGCATGTAATAAAATCTTTTCCATAATTAATAGAAGGATGTTGGATAAGAAAATCATCCTTAGTTTCCTGAAGATTGATTTTTATATATTGAAAATGAGAATTGTTAGCAGAAATCTTCCTGTTTATTGTATAACAAATTGTTAGTAACTTGGGCTTATGAAGAAAGCTAAATTGAATTAAGGGGAACTCCATTCTTTGTTTTGTTTTTACCATTTTGAAGCCATATAATATGACTCATACTAGGTTAACAAGGTGATAGCTAGTAGAGTCCATGTTACAGCCAATCCACTTCAAGGAAGACTATGTGCCTGGTGTTTAAAAAATCAAAAATCAGTCTGTACTAGAATCACCCAAGAATCTAGTTAGAAATTCATACATTATATTTGTGCGAAAATACTTTTGCACATAATTTAAAATTGGAGTTAGACTTAAAAACTGTTCTTGAAAATTTGAAGCACTTTCTCTTGGTAACTGATTCAGTTATGTTTGTTTTGCAAACTGCTTCCTCTATATTTACGTAGATAACATTTAAGCCCAATTAACACAAATTCTGGATTTACTGTCTTGAATGAATGACATGTATATTTAAAAATGTGTACCTAAGTATCACTTTTTCTAAAGCCAGTATATACTCTACATAGCTAAGGAATATCCAAAATCATGATAATTGTTGATGCTTTTATGAAAGACTTTGGAAATACACTGAAACTGTGCCACACAGAATACAGTATAAAGTAGTCTTGACTTTAGTTCATTTAAGAGAACATTATTACTGAAGGAACCCTATTAAATGGTGGCCTGGGTTGCAGAGTAACATATTAATTATTGCTTATAATATGATCAAGAAAACCTGATTTTGTTGAGTGGCTAATGTTCAGATTATTACAAAAATTACAAATTTATTTTCTCATATTTGAGGAAATTTTTTTCTTTCATTTTGTTTACCCATGTTTCACCTTAATTAGCTTCAATGATTCCCTTTTGTAGAAACTCAGAGTCTTAGGAATACATTCCTTTTTTTTTTTTTTTTAATCTTTGCTCCTTTTGTCTTTTCTAATAGCCTTTCTATCTGGCTTGCAATTTAGGCACGTCTTGGACTAATTTAGTCACTTTTTTTTTTTTTTGGTTGGTTGGTTTGATATTTTTGAGAGTGTCTTTCTATGTTGCCTAGGCTAGTCTCAAATTCCTGGACTCAAGCAATTATCCTGCCTCATACTCCCAAGTGCTGGGACATAGGATGCACCACCATGCCTGGCTTAGACAGCTACTGTACTTGAGGACAAGACTGTGCACTTTTGAAGTTAACCAAGTGTGTGTTGCCCTCCTGTGGTGTATTTGGGTAAATGCAATGGATGTAAAGACACAAACATTTGGAAAATCACTCTGGAATCCCTGTTTAAATATTGGGAGGGAGGTATAAATGAAGTTGTTCTAAAGCAGAGTACTGTCTCTGTGGAATGACAATACTCGAATTGATTGGAGTATTAAAATGTCTAAATCTTTCATATCTTACATATATTAGAAATACTTTTTTTTTTTTGCAATAAGTCATGTATTATTATTCATTCAAAATATACTTTGTGATAAGAGTTTAGAAGGAAGGTAATCAGGACCACAATGCTCTCCTCTAGTGGACTGTTTTAATACATGGTAGTTATTCTTTACATTTGTAGTAAACATCATTTTTCCTTCTTTAGAAGTAACACCTCTGGCTAATTATTATTTTACATTTATTATTTATGAGGACTTCGCTGAGTGCTAGCCTTAGAAAGTAAAAGTCAAATTCCACAGATAAGTTGATGACAGATGAAAAAATTTTAAAGTTATCTACATTAATGTGACTCAAATAGTCTTCTAAATCTCTGGTCTAAGGACTTCCAGCTGGGCTCACATCCAGCCCAGCTGAGCTCAGCTCTGTCTCAACGTGTACTGTGTAAGATGAAGAGGGCAGGCTGGAAGAGGGAGACAGTCCCTTCTAGCTGAGATCCTGTGGGCTCCCCACGACCTTCCCTCCTTTGGCAGAGAAGGAACTAGGCTGAATCTCTTTTCCTTTGAGGGCATAAAAGATGACAATGATGTGGCTTATGCAGCAGGCACTGTGGATCACCCTGCAGCCACTGCTGTTGTTTGGCCACCAGGATTGTCTCAACCGTTCAACAGTCAAGTCACTCAGCTCCAAGTATGTGTCAGAAACTGTGTTAGGCAGTGGGAACAAAAGGCAAACAGAGAAGCTACAGTTGCTGCTTGATGGAGGAAGACAAACATATTCCATGAGCGATCACAGTAAGTGAAATGGTGGTGATGGTGATGATGGTAACAGCACCCCGCACCCATTCATGGCTTTGCCATGTGTCAGGCACTGTGCAGGCACTTAATATGCACATTCTCCTTGAGCCCTGTTTTATTCATTCAATTTGCAGATGAGGAAAAGGAGACTTAAGCAACTTGGCAAATCCACTGAGAGGTAGAGAAAAGGCTTTGAATGTATGATTATATGATCCAAAGGCTGAGCTGAACCTGTAGCTCCCATGATGGCAGTAGCATGGGATATTATAGAGACTAACTTTAGCTAAATTAAATTAGATTTAATCTAACCAACTAAACGAAATCAGTTTTTGTTTGGTTTGGTACCAGGGATTGAACCCAGGAGTGCTTTATAACTGAGCCACATCCCCAACCCCTTTTATATTTTATTTAGAGGCAGGGTCTAACTGAGTTGCTTGGAGTCTCGCTAAATTGCTGGGCCTGGATTTGAACTTACGATCCTCCTTTCTCAGCCTCCAGAGCCTCTGGGATTAGAGGCATATGCCACCATGCCTAGCACTAACTGAACTGAATCTAAGTGGTCAGGGAATGCCTGCTGCAGATGTGACATCTGAACTGACACCTAACAGATACTTGACAGCAACCACACGCTGTTTATGGTCACTTCATTATAAAATTAGTGTTTACTAGAACTGAAATGGATAACATTGTAAGTTGTCACTCATAGACCTGAGAAAAATCACAGTATATTTTAAAGAGATTGTGTTTCCAGGATAACTATTATACAGGGTGAATAAGAAAAGTTAAAGGGAAAAGCATCTAGAATCTTGATAAGCACAGGAAGAGTATTCTCATGTGACATTCCTCATAAACAAAAGACTCAAGTAGGAAGGAAGGCAGAAAAGAGATATGTGTCTAAGTGAGAGTGCGCTTAGCCTGAGGGAAGCCCTGGGATCATCCCCAGGACCCGGAAAAAGGAGAGAGAGAGATAGAAAACAAGGGAGGGAGGAAAATATTTGCCGAGTCAACTGTTGTAATCTTTCCTACAAACTTTACATTAGTCATCTGTTTTAAGTCTTAGCAAAATCTGGAGTTTTCATTTTCACTATTCCCATAATGAGGGAAATATTTTCTATGTATGTATTTTGTGTCCGTTTTTTCTTATTTATTTACTGGTACCGGAGATTGAACACAGGGGTGCTTTATCACTGGGCTACATCCTCAGTCCTTTTTATTTTATTATGAGACTTTATTTGAGGCCTAGGCTGGCCTCAAACTTGCAATCCTTCTATCTCAACACCTCCTGAGTAGTTAGAATTATAGGCGTGTGTCACTGTGCCCAGCTATTTTCTTCTTCCTTTAACATTTTCATTTTTCTTCATCTCTTCCACCAGAAACAAGCCCAGAGCTTGGCATCACAGTAGGTGGTCTGCAAACTTCCACTGATTAAATTGATCACTAACCACTCTGTGTATCCAGGGTCACATAGCCAGGAAGTAGCATACTGAGAATTTAAATTTAGACTCTTTTTTAGTTTTTATTTATTTATTTTGGTACTGGGGATTGAACCCAGAAGTGCTTTACCGCTTTACCACTGAGTTACATCCCTATCCTTTTTTTTTTTTTTTAAATGAGACAGGGTCTCACTAAATTGCTGAGGCTGGCCTCTAACTTGTGATCCTTCTGCCTCAGCCTCCAGAGTAGCTGTATGCACTGCCATGTATGACAAATTTAGGCTTTTTAATGCTACAGACTATTTTTCATTCACTACTCTTCTTGCTTCTCAACTCATTGTCAGCTACTTCCAGAAAATATCATGTCATAGAATTAAAGAAATGTAAGAACTTCACCAGTTAAGAAATTGATTTGCAGGCAATCAAATACCTCAGGAATGACACCTATTATTTGAAAAGATGTGGGGAAAAATAACAAATTTCCTGGCAGACAGAAAAAGTCTTGCCACGTGGCTTTCTCTTAGGCTTCTACTATTTTTAAACATTCCAGTGCAGTTTAGAAAATGAAACAGTTTTCTAAAAGTCACTGCCTCAGTGGTCCCAGAGCCCATGACTGGCCATTTGGATGAAGGGAGAGCCTCATGTGGAAGGAGGCAGAAACACTAAATTTTGATTCTGCCTTGGCCCACAGGGCAGCAGTGGGCGTTGGTGTGGATAGTATGGACCAGAGCTGTCTATGGAGACCATTCCCCACCAAGGTGAGTAGTGGGGCCACAGGGTGGCTGCCCTGGTCCCCAGATGCTCTGCGGCAGGTGGAGCAGCAGCTCT